CAATTTGAAGATGCATTCACACAAAAAAGAAAAAAAAAATGACAGCAGAGAAGAAATGTTTAATGTCTGTTAATCTAAGAATGATTATAAGGCCATTTCCAAATTATATGACAGTCATCTTTAAGCTGTGAAAAACTTTATTTGGTCATTCAGAAAATGTTTAAAAAAGCTGGACATTTTCCCTGAAGTTTAAATCTGCAGTCACCTCAATATCGGACCATACAAGGTTTAGAAAAGCTACAAAAACCTCAAGGGGAATATGAGACTCCACAAGCCTCTGTTAGCATTTTAAATGTTAAAGTTCAAGAGATTACAGTTATTAAATTGCCTTTTTTTTGGCAAGGGTGAAGAGAAAAGCCTCTTCTCTCTAAAGAATATGGCAGCACAACCTAGATTTGAAAATTTACATCTAAATGAACAAAAAGAACAAAGGAAAGGTCTGTGAGTCAGTTAGACATTTGGCAAAGATCAAACACCTTATTCCACCTGTCAAGCACTATGTGTTGATGATAGGGGGTGGTTTTGGAAACACACAACCTTCGGCACTATTAAGTCATCAAGTCCATTGTCAGCACTGCGCTGATCAAAGCGGGGATTCAAGAAAGTTTAGGATACTAAGTTTAAGGCCAGATTCTGCTATAAAATTTACTTGGTCTATCGTCCATCATAGTATGACCATCAGTAAACATCAGTGAACCACTTTTATCACTGTTCCCAGGAAGAAGGAGTTCCTTGTGTTGCTATAAAGCTGCAAATGTCAGTAGCTCTTCACCGCTCTCCAATGGGTACATTGGGGAGGATATCCGTGTAAGCCTTTTCATCTATCAACTGAGTATCACACTGCATCTTCAAAGTAAACCCTAGCGCTAAAGTAAAGTACAGTCTGGTGTTTGTGTATCCAGTGACTGTACCCTGACCATTAATAAGAATGGCTACCTAAACCTACTTTGAGCCAAAGATTCTCTAAAAAGAGACGCCGCTAGACCTAGAGTGGCTGCCACATCTTCTCTCTTGATCAGATCTGCTGAACTCAACATCTCCTCTCATCAGACGACATTGCAACAAGAGGTTCTGTCCAGGCAGAGAAAATGTGTTTGTTTTCATTTTCCTTGTGCTTTGCTTTGTAGTGCTAAACTACCCATATATAGTAGGCCACATAGGGGGCTACATGTTACAGTTTAAACACTGGATTCCATTTTGTCCCTTTATTTACCCTCATACAATATTTCCAATTAATACTAAGCTTGCTAAATTGTGCTCCATTATCCCAACAGCTAATGCTAGGATGATAGTCACTATAAGTTATGTTGTGTTTACAGCAGAGCTCTTTCTGATCATAATAAGATCATCTGTGGCATGCCGCTAGAACTAATACACACAACAATATTTGTATTAGTAATACTTTGGACTGGGAGGGGTTGCTAAATAGTGCCACTGCAATTTTCTTTGGTGTTAGCTGGAGCACTCACCTTACATGTGACATCATCACCCATCTATCCTACCTCCATTTGCAGTCATAAACTAAGTCCATATTGGGAGTCCAAATGTGCCATCTATATGACGTTATTCAGTCCATAACTGTGATGGCTGCTTAATGCAATATGAAAAATCAACTCTCCCAAGTTATTGTTCCTTGTTAGCAAAAATTGTTTCCAGAAAATAAAAATATGACAAAAATAAAAAATGATTTTCGTTAACGAGACTAAGACCAGATTAAATTTACGGGCCATGGCCGAATGGACATTAAGAAATGTAATTGCTTATAATTAATTTGTAATTGTTAATATAAGTGTTTCTTAAACTTCATAGAAGATTACACGGTGTTGCCCTGTTTGTCCTTACACGGCGCCTGTCCCATAGTGCCTTGCGCCGCTCAGTAAGTAGCAGCACAGGGCTTATACTGGTCACTGGTAGTAGTTAACCGTGGTTAGCTCAACTTAGCAGTCATTGCGTGGGGCTCTGATACCGGAGTACGGTTTGTTGGAGGAGCTGGGCGAAAACAACGCCTGGATGTATGGAGCCATTTCATTTACAACGCAAAGAAAAACACCGGAGGAAGGACAACACCAAAGAGTCTGCAGCTTCAAAATGGCAGGGAAGAACACAGCAAATCTCAAGCGACATCTGAGGTGCAAACATGCTGGAAGAAGGTAAGGAAGGGGTGGGCCTGTAGTAGAAGGAACAGGGGTGTGTGGGTGCATGCATATAAATGTGTGTGTGTGTGTGTCTTTCTGTGCCTGTATCTGTCTGTCTCTCTGTCATAGAATTAAGATGTTCTACTGATACACTAGATATTAATCATTTAAATGTTTTCTTCCCAACTAGAGTCCTGACACTGTGACACCACAGCCAAATCAGAGGTTGGGGAAGGAAGAGAAGTCTGTTGCAGAGATGCACCCCCATACCTCAAGCCAAAGAGCAGAAAGCCCTGGAGAACTCAATTGCAAAATGGATTGGGTGTTCTGGCCTGCCTGCAAGGACGATTGAGGATGAAGACTTTGTGGACGTGATGAAACAAGCTGAAACAAAGGTTCAATGTGTGTAGTGTGATATATGTTAAAAAGCGAATCAGTGTGAAGTTCTATTCTGCACAGTGTTATATAAATAAAATAGAGAAAAAGAGAAGCTGTGTGTGAAGAATTTTTATTCTGTACAGTGTGATATATGTTAAAAAAGCAGTGTGTGGAGAAGTTCTATTGTTTACAGTGTTGACTAAAATTACTAAAGTTTGACTAAGACTAAAATTGATTTTCATCATTTAGACCAGGGGTCACCAACCTTTTTATGGCTGAGGGCTACTTGATGGCTACCAAGTCATAGGAAGGGCAACCAATACTGACCTATGAACTGGAGGGATCAGTGTTCACCTACAGTAAATCTCATCCATAAAAACTCAGTTTATTCTTATTTTATTCTTTTATTCATTTCTAATTTTCTTTTTAATATTGTCATTTTGAAACCACTGAAATATGATGAAATAGTTAACATGATGAAATAATACATATATGATTAAAAAGAAGAGCAACAGAATAAAAAAAATAAAAATTAACCCACTGAGTGAGTTTTTCTGCTTTCAGAAGACGAAGAGGGCACCCCATGTGGTCCTTGAGGGCCCCTTGGTACCCGTGGGCACCACGTTGGTGACCCCTGATTTAGACTAAGACTAAAACTAAATTGGGAAGGCAATGACTAAATGTGACTAAGACTATAATTGATTTTTGTCATTGTGACTAAATAAAAAAAAAAAGCTGAAGAAATTAACACAACTGTGACTACAGTTGAATTCATTATTCAAATATTTAAGGAAGTGGGACAGTAAATAACTTTCTTGGATGTGACTGCAGGTGGAAAATGATGACTAATCAAAGAGATGGAAGACAGGAATGGTAACAAAAGAGCCCAGAAAAACTTCTAAAGAGAATAAAGGTCAACTTTAAACTCAAGGAATATTAGTGTCAGATCACACTGTCCGTTGTTGTTTGAGCAAAAGTGAATTTAATAAAAGAATACCAAGGAGGACACCATTGTTGAAAACATAAAAGAGTCGGAATGGAATTTGCCAAACATCAGCTCTATGTTCACATAAGGAAAAACGAAGCATATGAAGAAAAGGACACAGTCCCTAAAGTGAAACATAGAGGAGGCTCTGTCATGATCTGGGCTGCTTTGCTTCATCTAGAACAGGGAGTCTTGAATCTCTGCAGGCCATAATGAAATGTCCAGATGATCAAAGGATTCTAAAGAGAAAGCTGCTGCCCATTGTCAGAAAGCCTAATCTCAGTCGCATGTTAAAACACAGTTAAAAACAGCCAAGAATGGCTAAGAGGAAAACACTGCACTATTCAGAAGTGGCCTTCTATGATTCCTGACTTAAATCCTATTAAGCATCTTTGGAAGCAGCTGAAACATGCCGTCTGGAAAAGGCGGCCAGCAAATCTGAGACAACTGAGTCGTTTCTTCATGAAGAGTGCAGTCTAACAAAAGAAGCCAAACGACCCCCATTCCAAAGGGGTGGACCCGTTTGTCCGTTCCAATTTGCATGATTTCAAAACAAAAACAAGGCTTTTATGGGCTACAGTATAAAACCTCGATCTCAACGCTATTCCTAACATTCTCAATTGAAAAAGCTTTGTGGATAGGAAGCAAAATGTCTTCAAGCTTGGAAACAAAGTCTAGTAGATTGTTTTGAATTTTTCTTTGGAATGACTATGACCTGGATGACTGAGAATCTTCACTAACATATTTTAACCATTCTGTTAAATAATGGTTGAAAGGCAATGTCAGCCTTTCATTTGTTTATTTTCTTAGATTTTTTTTAATTATAATGTTCAGATTCATGTTATTTCTGTGACCATCATGAGTTTTTATCAATGCCTGTACTTCTTTTAACTTTTACTATTTATTTTCTGTAGTTTTCTGTGTTATTTCATTTAGTGGCATATTTAAATTTCTCTAGCCTATTTACAGACTGTTTTCACAATAGAATTTTAATTGGATTTTGAAGTATTTTGTTACTAGATAATCAGGTAGCTCCCTACCTTCATTTTGATTTAAGTTCTCAACTCCAATGATAATGCATTTGATGTTCCAAAAAAAAAAAAAAAACAAACCAAAAAAAAAAACAATGTTACATAACAAGAGTTGGTTGACCTGCAGTTATTGACTCAACCATGAGCTTCTCTGCATATCAAGCCATATTAGCTTCAAATATGAGACCATCTGTCTGTCAACTAAATCATGAGTCAAACTGGATTAGGCTGCAACAGTCCAGTAACAGTCTAATCAAAGAGGTCCACAAGCTACTGAATCATTGGGTGTCTCTTGCTTTGTACACCGTTTCTCTGTGCTGTTCAAATTTCATTTGTTCCGCATTAAAAAAATCTTAAGCACCACCTACCTTTATAACGGGTGATAAGCCCCATGGTGTTGTTACCCTCTGGCTCCTTGATCACCACGCATAGAGATGAACTGCTGGTTACCAATAAAGACACATGACTGGGAGGGCCTGGGAGCTCTACGTAGAAAAGTTACAGACAAAATTTTACAATTTACACAAAGAAACATATAAAATGTATCTACAAAAATAATTATGACAAGATATGTACAGTGTATTAAAAAGGATAAGATAAAGTTCCCTCTTTGTGCTGCAGGAGAAGTAGGGAGCTGCAGTTTAAATAGGACAACCTATTTGCAGGACTATTTTAAAAAATGTGGTATTTATGATAGAATGGAAAGAAGACAGCTGTTTGGAAGCCCTGATTATTCTGAAAGCAAAGGACAAGATTTGAGGCCAAATAAAGGCACTTTTTAACCTTTGTTCAAAAAGGCTCATCCTCCGAACACACTATCCCCACCAGAAACAACAACAATGCATTTATTCAGCAGGAACATGGAGCTGCATAGTTTATAGGAAAATAAATACAGGCCAATCATGGAAGAAAGACAGCAGAAAATTAATGAAACAGAGAGAAGGGTGGCCTAATGGTGAGGCAATATCTACAAAAGCAGCACTGTGTTGTCGATCAGAGTATTTAAATGTCTAATAGAGCTGCCCAATCAAAGTACAACCTGAAACCCAATTTAGAGTCTTCTGAAAATTTTACAGACATCCTCCATCTATCATGTCATGCAACTAGCAGTTCAATGTGTCTCGAACTGCAATAATTACCTCTAAGTAAACCAAAAATAAATCTTCCTTTGAAGCCTCTTGTAGCTCTAACACACTGCAGGGAGTTTCTCTTAACTGTCTCTCCTATAATAGTGGCTCAAACTTTCTCCTTTGTGATCAAAAGTAACAGTGCTCTGCCCACCAAGTCTAGACAAAGGGATTTATAGTTTAGCCGCGATCTGCGGTGACCTGGAATTGAATGGATTCCCAATAAGCCGAGCACCTAAGACCACAATTCATGTATATTTTAGATGTTGAACATTCAGCCAACGTTCTCATCCCCCGGAGATTTGTAATAAGAGTATGCTTAGTTTCACTGCACATAAAAAGAAAACCTGAGGCCTTGTTCTCTTTGCAAGTGAGCAGATAAAACAGCCAGCAAAGAGATGTGAAGATCCTTGAAGCAGAAATGAATAGTTCTAACTAAAAGCATTACAGTTAGTAATAAATACACATAATAACATAACAACTAAAACAACCCATTAAACCACTGAAGGGACCAAGAATGGAGACACAAACGGGTTTGTGTGAGAAGTGAAAAGCACAGTAGCCCTGAGAACCTGCCGTTTGCAGAGTCCTGCTCATAAATCTGCCAGCATCAAGGATTTTATTTGATCTAGACAGCCAGTGGAGGAATGGCAATGAGGATTTGGACAGGCTGATGATGAGACACTGGGATGGCTAAAGGGAGACTTTAAGTAAAAACTGAACAAAAGAGATGAAACAATTAGTCAGTGAAACCTAAAAAAGATAGGAGGATGACTAATTGATCTCAGTGGTTTAGTCAGCACACACAGAGGGCTTTGTAGATCAGACATGGAGTAAAAGCGTCTCAATAGCTGTTACTAAGCTGTAAAAACAATCTAATGCTAATATTCTGAGGCTTGGTAAAATATGCAGCCAGTGTGATTTTTTTAATATGAATTCATCCCTTTCTAGTCAAGCCATGCAAACTAATCCAGCAGAGTACAGTAGAATATATTACCTAGATCCTCTATTGCTACGTGGGAGAGCATGGCTGTTTCAGTACTATTTTCCGTATGCATACCTGTCACAGAGATTGTGCTTCTGCAGTCAACAGATGGCGTCACATAGAAAAAAAGCGTCTTGATATCGACCCATGCAAGTCGACAGTAAATGAATGGCAAGCAAATGAAAGGTTAATTGCTTTAGCGAAGGTTATCCCCTCACATTGCTGTAGCTCACTAGAATAGAAGTGTAATCACAATTAAAGTGCCGACATTTCATATGTCTTCAGCTTTTTCATATCTTGCCATGTTGTAACCTCAGACCTTAATACATGTCATTTGGTTTTCATATGACAGGTCTTCAGAAAGTACAGCGTAGCTGTGAGGTAGAGTGGAGCTTAGTTTTTTATTATTACAAATCAAAGTCAAAGAAACTTTAACCACCTCCATATGCATTAACAGCTTTCTGACTCAATCAGCATCTTACATGTTAGTTTAATTTTGACTCCTCTAACCATCTGTTTGCTGTACCACCTACACGGTTTGTGATAAACTGCAAAAAAAAAGAAGAAAAAACCTTCTAAATGATTTATTTTTGTTACCCTTTTGAGGAAAGCCAAATGAGTACAGCCATAGACCTTTAGTTGTTCTGTTTTGCCCATTGTAACCTCTAGAGTTACTATGGACCTTTTGTTTGGCCCTTGGCTGGTTAGTTAAGTCCTGTGGAAAAACCTGCAGAAGCAGCGTAAAATCCCCTGTAAAGATCATCTAAATTTAAACAGATTAGGTTGAAAACATGGGCTTTTATTTTCCCTAATCAGAGCTGTAGTTTGTTCTGAGACATCTTCATTTGCAGATTAAGCACAGTGCTTTATCATCCTGTTTAAAGAAACATGAGCATAAACAGTGTTCCCTGGCATGGCATCATGCAGCGGGATTACTGGTGAGGGACTCGGTGTGTATCGTCTCTCACAAGTGCAGAAAGAGCACCTTAGAAAAGTGACACTGAATAGCATGAAGGGGTTGTGTTAGAAAGAAAATGACTACTTAAAACATATGGCAGGTTTGTTGTAAATGCAATAAAAAAGATCTTAAAAAGGGAAGAGCAAAACAAAGTATGTTCTAAATGTTTACAGAATAAATCAGACAGTTTTACGTTGAGAACTTCAGAGCTACCACACTGTTTTAGGAAATTAAAAACAATGTTTGGGTAAGGAATTTCAGCTTTTACTGCTTTACAAAAGTATTCACCCCCCCATTGGTTCCGTTAAGTTTGTGAAGTTTTAACCACAATCTAATACAAATTAATTTGTCATAACAATTATCCATAACATACATTCCAATGAGAGTTGTGGCCTGAATTTAACCCAACCCCCCGAGGGAGCAGAAAGCAGCTTGCAGTGCCTGCAGAACTGACTACGTTCCATGTCCGCTCTGTTATTCTTCCTAAAATGTGTCCATGTGACAATCCTCACTCTAGACCTCTCTTATACTGAGATTAAGTCTATTTTACTGTCATCTGGTTTCTGGAAATTGTTGTGTTTTGCTCTTTTATCCATCAAAAATAGTTTATTGCTGATGGCTGACGAAGGAGAGCTGCCCATCATGCCACACTGCCAACAAACCAGTGTCCTGAAAGACTTTTATTTGCAGAAGAGAGTAAAATGCATGAGAATTACTGTAGGGCCAGAGCCTTTTTTAGGAACCAAGGGTAACAGTCAATGGGACTAGAACCAGGTACTAACAGCCTTTCCAGAAAGCAAGAGCTCTGCATCAACCAATAGGCCTCCAGTGTCCTTGTAAGACAATGACCAACAGCCCATAATACTGATATTTTAGATTAAATATAAATTTGGTGTTTTATACACTATGCAATCAGCAGTTCATAGCATTATTACCTCTTTATCATGTTTAGAACGCACATTTGATGTGATTTGTTTTCATGGACCAATACCAAGTTCTGCAAAATTTTGAAATCGAGGGAAAAGAAAAATTTTTAAAACCTGTGTCTAACACATATTCTGCTTTTTCACTTTTTCGCGTTTCAATGGCCAAGTCAAAGTCCGAAACCAATTTAAATTTCATAACTGCGAGATTTGAAAATGTGTATTCAAAGATCCCATTCGTTTAATCTGACTGAGTTCAGGCTGTCTTGATGTTCGTGTTCAAGCCTTCTCAAAATTATTGATACTTGGAGCTAAAAGTAGATTTTTATGAACAAAAAAATTCTGGAAACCAATTGAAAGTGAAAGTGTTTTGTTGGTCTTTCACAAAATCTCCTAGATAAATGCATCGATGTGTGTGACCGTAGGCGGACAAAGCGTGAAAAAGTTCAAGGGGTATGAATACTTCAGAGTTTATGAGGAACCACAGTCTGACCCAACAGCACTGACCTGTGTTCTGGAAGTTCTCTCTCATCCGGCAGTACAGCTGCAGCCGGAGTCTCCAGAGGCGAGCCTGTCTCTGGACCTCAGCCTGTGCCTGGGGGCCCGCTCCTGTTTTTCTGGCCAACTCCAGCTTCCTCTCCTCCACTCGTTTACTTGCCAGATCCACCAGGGAATCCAGCTTGAGCCCCCAGTCTACTGGCCGGCACACTGAGAGGTAGACAGTGGTTGTACATAATTCACCATGTGAAATCAACCCTTCAACTGTTTTCATGCTCTTTTTGGATCATTTAAATCATAGTACTTACAAATAGGGTTATGTCTGGCTCCTGCCTTTGTCAGCACATGTAGAAGAGGGGAGTTGTGGGTAAGTGCTGCCACATCCAATGGAACCAAACCCTGTTCGCTCACTCTGTTCACCCCTTTTTCTTTATCTTTCTCCCAGTCCTTCTCTTTCTTCTCTCCTCTCTCCCACAAGCTTGTTCCTCCTCCTCCAGAGCTGCCATGATCTTTGGACAAAAGGCTTTGCACAGCCAAAGTGTCCTCATTTTCCACTGCCTCCCACAGGGTCTTGTACTAATGGGGAGAAGGAGGAAGGGTGCACCACCAAGGAAAGCGTTAGAAAGAAAAAGAAGGTTTTAGATGTCCAAGAGATTTATTTAGCAAGGTGGCGGGGAGGGAGCTGCATTAAAAGAAAATGAAAGAAAAAAAAAAACACCCACAAGATCCATAAATCAAAGCAGCCAAGGACAACAAACTCATACTCTAGCATCATGAGATAAAGAAAGCTTGGGAATTTGAGTTATTAAAGAATAAAAAGGTTACTGAAGATGAAAGAAAAGTGTTGACAGTTTTCTTTTTCTTTTAGCTCTTTGTGGGGGTGTTCATGCTTTATACTGTATTATGTGTGCATTTGGATAGTTTGGCCCTCAGTTTGAACACAAACCCAGCTATAATCTACAAAGCAGCCAAACTTTCACAGATGCAGCAGATGTAGTTTTAGCTCTTCACCATAAAACAGATCAAAACCACAGGACATCGTGCTAAGTTACACATACTCTGTTTAGTGAAAGCACAAATGATCTTTGTCAAGGATTAGCTTTGTGCTTAAAAAAAAATATCTATGAGTTACTGCAACATTTAATTTCCCTTTGGGATTAATAAAGTATTTTTGAACTGAATTGAACACAAATGTTGAAGGACATGCGGTCTGCAGCAATAGGAAAAAGAACTCAATTCCTTTAGTTAGATTTCAGAGTAAAATTTTCATCAGTGCCAAACCTATTGCGCCAAGTACCTACTTTAAAAGAACCTTTTGACAACATGAATTGGACCAATACTCAAAAAGAAATACATGTTCCTGGTTTAAGGAAATTGAGGAACAGGTGAGAGTCATTAGCATCAGTCAGTTGGATATGGATTAAAAAGTAATTTTTAGGACAGGGGGACTCCCGTAAACTACAATATAGTAAGAACCATCATTAACAAATGGAAAAAACAAGGTAAGATGGTACGAAAACCTTCCAAGAGTAGGAGGCCAAGAAAAATTACTCCAAGAGCACATTAGCAACTCACCCTGGAGGTCATAAAATGACCAAGAACAATAACTTAAGTACTTCAGGCCTTACTGGTATCAGCTAGAATGTATAAGAAAGAGAGACTAGGTGAAAGATCAAATCTATTGTAGAATTTCAAAAACTGCTGGTGACCAAACAGCAAACAGGATATGATCGTGCTACATTTGTACAAGAAAAATAATCTTGACATTTTTTAGGACCATTCCTGACATTTTGAATTGAAACAGCTTCCTGGAAGGGAAGCGAAACGTCTTCGAACTTGGAAACAAAGTCCACTGGATTGTTTTTAATTTTCTTTTTCTTTTTCTTTTTCTTTTTTTTTTTTGGAATAATCTGAATGGTCAGAAAACTATTTAGGAAAATATTTAGTGAAATTATATGTGAGGTTTGGAAGGTGTTTGTCCTTTTCAATCTGTCAGAAAACAAACCCATTATTAACAGTCAAACATGTTGGAGGTACTGTGATGGTCTGTGGAACCTGGATGACTTAACATAACTGATCAAACTATAAATTAGACTCTTTTAGATCATCTCTCCTGAAGAATATCCAGCTACTGTTTGCTTAATTCTAAGCCGAGTTTACAAGCAACGCCACCTTCAAATGCTTCAAAACTAATCTAAACGATTGTCTAAAATAATCTATCTAAAAGTCTGGCCTTAAATCTTATTAAGAGGTGATGCATCAGCTCATTTTTGAAAATCCTTCACTACAGTTAAATTCAAATCATTCTGCACAGGAAATCAGACCAGAATTCCTCAACGGAGAATAAAATATATTTTTCTTATTACACACCTTAACTAAGAGATCATGGGTCAACCAATCATTAGGTTTAAAGGCCAATTGCTTTTTCACGTGGGCAAAGTGTAGGTAAGTAGCCATATTGTTCTACCTGTTTATGAGTAAAGTTGCACATTTTCTGAGAAAATGCAAATAATACGATATAAAACTGCCTCAGCTTGAGCTGTTTGTTGATGCAAAATATGAATGTAGGGGAACAGGAGGTGAAGCATGAGGAGAGTGCTAATATCTTACAGCTTCTGCAGGCTTGGTGGTGTGCTTGGGTGGATCCACCTCCGCTGCTACCGAGGACTCTCCTCCCCTCAGTCTGACGGAGAGGTTCCTGTAGATTCGTTTGGGTGAGACTGGACCCAGAGAGCGCCGGCGTTGGGGTGGGTTCCTCATAGATACGGACATGAGGACAGAGAGGGCGAGGAGATGGAGAAGAGGAAAGGGCAGGGGTTGGGGGACAGGAAAAGATTTAAGCAGAGGGAATAGAGCTTAGAGGTCAAAAATGTTGCAGAGGAAAGATGTGAGTTGTTTGAAAATTGAAGGAAGGATTAGAACTCTGAGAGGAACAAAGGGGAGATTGATAAAAGCCAGGAAAATTGAGAAATGAAAGGTTGAGAAAAGGGAACCCCTCCCCCAAAAAAGAGAAAACAGAAAAGTAAGTGAGGCTACTGATTTTTTTTTTTCATTGAAGACAATTTACTTCTAAGTTGAGTGCTGAGTATTGGCTGAGAGGTGTCAGTGGATAAATGGACGCCAGTAATGTCTGTTCAAAGCAGATGAAAATGGCTTGAAGGATTCAGCTTCTGCTTGCTCTTTTGCTTCTTCTCCTCTTACCTGCCGTTATGTGCCCTGGGTTTTCTGCCCTCTGAATGCAATCTTGCGACAAACAAAGGAGGAGACCCATCGTTCTAATTAAGAAAGATTTACAAACTCACACAACTCCATCTTTTTATTATGAACTTAACCATCTTCTAAGGATCTGAAGTGAAAATCTCTCCTAAATTGATCCATATTTTTGTCACATTACAAAAACAAAATTTTAGTTATATCAATTGAAGTTTTTTCCTATAGATCAACACTAACTAGAAGAAATCATTTTTTCTTTTTTTCCCCTTGTAGTTTTTATTGTCATTACACTGTCACAAGTACAGAGCAACGAAATGAAGTCTCTAGATTTAACCTAAGCAGTGTGGAGTTAAGGGTCTTTGCTCAGGGACCCAGAGTGGTAGTCTGTGGGTGTGGGGCTCAAACTCAGAACCTCCAAGCTCTATGCCCTAACCACTAGGCCGACACTCCCCTGATAAATATTTATTTTTTATCATTCAGCCCTATTTACTTAGATCTCCCTTGAAAGATTTCAGAGCCAAAAATTGTCCTAATTAGTTAACTTAACGAGCAAAGAGTCCCCTTGTGTGTGATTTAGCAATTTGCTGAAGGTCTTAGAAGTTGTTTTTTTTAAATACTTTATTCCTGCATATTTATTTCACTCCTGGTCATCCTTTTTAGAGAAAATTAGTCAAAACAGCAAAGGCAGTGGTCCAGGATTTGAATTCTAATCTGAAATATTTTGCAGTGTGCTTCCTTTTTTCCTTTCTGTCTGCTAAAAAAATAAAGGGCCAGGAAGGATGGAGGGAACTAATTAAAATCAAAAAGACACTTGGGTAGAGGTTCAACTCCAGCACTACACTGAATGGTTTAAATAAGTGATTTCCAACCGGGGATAAGCATACCCAAAGTGCATTGCACGGGGTACATGAAAATATTTTATTTCTTAGGTATTAAAATAAAATAGAGCTGGGATGTGTTTTGCTTTGTGAAGACCAAACTGAAAAATAAAACAAGCTTTTACCAACCAAAAAGTATGTTTGTCTTTGAGTTCACCTTCAGCTGTGACCCACATTGAAACCAGGCAGAGGAACAGGCTAGATGTAGAGAACAGCCTGGGATCAGCTGTTTTCCACAATGAGCTGTCAGAGCTCCTCAAAGCAACTCAGGAGTCTTGATGAAAACAAAGTAAAACTAATTAAGTCAGTCTGACTATAGTTTTTTTTCCCCAATTGATCAAGTTTAAGAGTAGCTCCAGCTTTAAAAATACAGGTTTATATTATTATTTTATCTTTATTTTTTTTCGATTCCTCACTTATTTACCTTTTATTTGAGATGGAAAGAATTAAAAAATGCCTAAGAATTAAATGCTCAGGTTAAAAGATTTAGTAAAATTGCTTTTTTTTTTTTTTTTTTAATAAGTTATTGTACATCTTACTTTTGCACAATCATCTGTAATTTGGACTAAAAGGGTTACTCATGGTGAGGCAAAATGCCCAAAGGGGTACGAAGTCAAAAAACATTGGGAAACACTGGTTTAAATCAACAAATGTTCATATAGAATGGCCTAGATGATGTCCATCAATGAATGAGAGCTTGAGCGGTTTTACCATGACAGGATTGGTGGCCTAGTGCTTATGCGTAGAGCTTGGAATACTGAGGTTGTGAGTCCAAAATCCACTCCTACAGACTGCCACTCTGGCTCTCTGAGCAAGACCCTTAATCAGGGATCGCTCCCCAGGTGCCCCATGATGGCAGCCTACTGCTCCCCAAGAGGATGGGTTAAATGCAGAGGTACATTTCTCAAATGTGAGATCAATAAAGTTCAATTATCATTAAACGGAGAAGAAAATATTTCCATTATTTACAAAAGTTTTTGATACTACCATTTCCTGTTTACTTAACAATTACATACTATTGTCATTTTGAACTTTGACGTTTAACCCAAATGACACACACCAAAGTTTGCATTGTGATTTGTCTAGATGTGAAAAGGTTTAATGGGTATGAATCTATTTAAATCCTGAAAGAAAATCAGTAATGATGGCTCAGGATTTCAAACCATGTTATTATGATCGGGTTCTGAATTACTTCTCTCTGCCTTTCAGTCAACATGTCTCATTTTGTGACACTGTTTTTTTTTTCTTTTCATCCCCTCCACAGCTTTGAGTCATTTTCCTGTCGCCTCAACTTCATTTCAAAAAGCATCCCTCTTTCTAAAGGCGGACATTCACAGGATGTCAGATGTGAATAAGTGGATCTGTCACCATCGCCATCTCATCTCCCTGAGGAACCAGGTCTTTATGCACTAAGTGGTAAACTGTCCTTGGGAGAAATCAAATACTCCCATGGTGAGTTCTAATTTGGCCATAATGATACCACATCACCACCATGCCTGTTAAGTGAGTCAGTAGTTTGCACAGTGCATGCATTGTCAATAAGTCTGGGTACAGGACTATAAGGGCAGTATCAGTGTTACTAAAAGAAAGATCTTTCCACTGTTTGTTTATATTGTCCTACAGAACCCCCTTAAAGTGCTGATGAGACATTTGCTAGAGGAGATAAGCTCCTGTTTAGTGTTTGTCTTTCAGATAAAACAAGATCAGGCAGGCTTCTCAGAAACTGGAGGATGCACTTTAGAGAATACGTGAGCAGGAGGGTATGAAACACTGACCCGAGAGGAGAAATACACCACAGATTCACTGTGGTTTTTGTCAGACTCTCAACTTGATGCTATTTTCTTTTTTTTTTCTTTAACCTTTGCGAAGCTGTCTGATGCAGACATGAGAGTGCCGCATGTGTGCAAGCGGTCTTTCCGGTTTGTTAGTCTGCGAAAATGCAGCGGCTCTAAAGTTCAGCAATGCATGGAAACATGTGATGAATAATGTCAATCCCACAGGAAGTGATGCTGCACAGTCAACTGTGAGAATAAACCACAGAGTGGCCTGAAACGTCAAAGGGCTGAGTTGTAATTGATTTACTGATACCTAAAAGATTAGGTTTTTAGATTCAATATTAGGTTCACTTTAGAGTTTAGTAAACAACATTCAAACGAATCCACAGTAGGGGTTTTTAATATGGTACACCACCCAGTGCCCAATTATCAGGGGGTGGCACAAGTACTTAAACTTAATATCTATAAATAGATTATTTGCATGTCTTGAACCAGTTTGAGGATGCTTATTTTAATTTCCATCCAAAATGTATTGGGAATCCCCTTTGTACACAGTGAAGAAAATATGGCAAAGAAATTTGGTGCCTAGCAACATTTGAACAGTTTAAACTGAATAATATAGGTTCTTAAAAAAATCATTCAGCCTATTTTTTATGACATCACAAAAAGAAGCCAGTAATTTTATTTGCATAAAGACAATCCCTAAATTGAGACTACATGTTTAAATATATATAAATCAATCAAATATCAACACTAGTTTTTATACTGAATATTTAAAAAGCAACCCAAGTTTATTAGTAGATTTCAGTAACAACACAATTCAAAATGCTGTATGATCAGGACATAGGAGAAGAAAAACACACAGTGGAAAGTTCATAGCACTGCATAAAAAGAGAGTTTGGGCAAAATAAGGATGTTTCAGTTAAACAGAACAGTGAAGGCAGCTCTAAATATAGACTCCAGGTTGAGTTTGTGAAACTAATTCCAAATAAAAATGTGGATTTATAATTGTATCTAAAATATTGTTTCACTTTTATCTTATCTAACATTTGTTAACCAAATGCTGTTTTAATTTTAAAATCAGCCAGCAGAGTGAGGTTGATGCAAAAACAATCAGCCAAAACATGAAAACCAGACATATATAGCAACTCTGTTAAAAAAAATCTGTTCTATAACACCCTATTCTATAGGGGAAAGGGCATTTGCTTTTATAGACAGTCACACTCACCATCATTAGGCACCTAGCATCTCAGTTCCCATGAGGGTGGGTCTTAAATCCAGAACCCAATAGAGAAGAGTTGCTGATTCTCACAATAAGACCCATCCAGGGTTATATAGAAGTTCATACTGTAATGCTATGACTTAACAGCAAAGTTTTATCTGTGTTCTGGATCATATCCCAAACCCTCCAGAATTCAGCTATTTTGGTTTCAAGGCATATGAAATTCTTAGTTAATAAAAAACAAAACAAAACAAAGAACATAGACTTTTTTGTTGTTTTGGAATTTTCATAATTTTATTTTCATAAATAAATTAAATCAACTTATTAATTAAGGCAATGTAACCAAAAACAAATGCTGGTCATTATACTCTTAAACTATTTGGTAAGCTTGCATTTTAGGTTGTTTAGCATGGTTTTGGGGAGGAAACTGGTGAACTAATGAGATGTTCACAATGAACATGAAGAATTTCATGTCTACTTGTAGAACCAGTTAGACCTGATTAGATCACCACTGACTGAAATTGATTTTCTGTGCTTTGTTGCCCACTTTGGGTAAGTGTGGTTTTATGACTGCAGTCAATATTTAGTGGTTATGGCTGCACAGTATTACGAAAAAAAATGCACGTGTCAGGGTATTGCTAAATATTGTGATTGTTAACTTTCTTTTTCCTGACTTCTGTCTTTCTTTTCTATCATTACAATGTCTCCACAATGTATTTAAAATTGTAGCCTCTTAGCCACCACGATATACAGAGACATTAGGCATCAAGAGTGGATGGGAATTTGAGTTAAGCTGTGCAGATATATCATTGGGATGCACAGCGTATGGCAATTAAAGTATAACTGACTGGTTATCCAAACAATCAATTGCAATTGACATATTGTAAATATTGATATTGTGACGTGATTGTGAATGCCAAAGCTTTCAGTATATCATGGAAACTCATGATAACACTTAATTACAACCAATGATATGCTATGATTTAAGCATGTTGGTGGGAAATGGTTTGTTTACAGGAACAAAATAGACTTAGGATTGGATTAAAACGTAATATATTGGTACCAAAGGGTCAAAATGCATATCAAAGAGAAGCCTTTAACATCTGTCAGCAGGATTTTTAATCAATTACTCTCCTTATGACAAGACAAGATGACTGGTCACTTTGAGGTACATTAAACAACACAATCAGCACTTTGGACCTCTATCGTCTTTCTTTAAACTATTCTTACTTGTCACTGCAGACAAAGCCATGACGGATATTTGTTTTACAAACACTGGTTAATTCTAGGAAAGAGACTGAGCTCACATGAAGGCTATTTTTCTGTAGAATACACAAAAATGGATCAAGAGGTAATTGTTCCACTAATAAGAGCAGGATGTTCTGGTTCAAAACGCACAATAACATGTTATTATACAACTTTCTGGGATTAAATGAGGCTCTGAACAGCTTCTACATCTTAACATTAACCCTTCATTTTAAGTGCAAAAGCGTTTTTTTTTTTTTTTGTTTGTTTTTTTAATCTCATGATTTAGGTCATATTCAGCAACAGACCACATTTGTTCTCTTGCTTTTCTTAGAAAGGAGTTCATTTCTTTGTGCACTGCTGCTTCAGTTCCATATACCCTGCAACATGCAATAAAGTAAACTGTTATGAAGGAAACAAAGTCATTTTATTTCATAAATTTAGGTAAAAATGTAGTTTTTATATTATAAATCATTTTTGGATCACTTTTAAATCAAAGACTAACTTTTTTGGAAGTTCTTTGAGATCTTTTTCTCTCGTAAAACTGTAACCTATTTTTTTTCTTCAAGACCCTGATCGTGAATATCTTCCTCAATAATTTTTCTTTCTTCAGGTCAACAGTAACGTCTAAGTTTCTATTTGATAAACAAATACTTATTTCCTTACATCATTGATTATTCCAGAAGCTAAAATAAACATAAAAGTGTTTAGAAACTTTAATGCAACTCTAAAGCCAAGAAGGTCAGCGCTCTCCTGTACTGAAGGAGCCTCTCCCTTCTGTCACCATCCTGTGAAACACCTTTGCGTCTCTTACCGTAAACTCGGTAATTTTGCTCTATTCTGGCTTCCGTCCGTCCCTCCGGAGACGCTTCCACATAGTTGTTTTTGTTCAGAGAAGTCCGCCAGCTGATCGGATATAATCCATCGTTTCACAAACGTTGCTCCACAGACTGACAGACCCACCTGACCGTTACACCCGAGTGGGAGACCGAAGATTATCCGACACCCACCCAAGCACACACGTTTCCCTTGTTCCGCCCACTTCCTCAACTTCTCTTTCAAATAGTTAGGCTATATTTCCTTTAAAATCATTTAGTAAATCCCTTTTATTATTTGTTTGTGTTGCACTAGATCGTTACTTTTTTTTTATTTGATCAGCTGATGCGATGAGAGGGATAATGTTGATTAGTTTATTATTTTCCAGCAGGGTGTGGGAGTGGGCGGTGTATCCCACTATTTATAGTAAAACCTACCGAGACAAAACCAAAGTTTTCATATGTCTGAAATGCCAGGAAAAGGGCTTGAAAAGGACAAATAAATAAAATGAAACAATGTCGTATAAGTGTAGATATTATAGCCCAAATTAAGCAGTAGGCTACGGAAGAGGATTAGGGCCACTTTAAACAAACAATATTAAATATTAAATATTATTTCAGTTTAATATGGGAAAAAAAGTCAGAATTCTGACTTCAATATCAGAATTCTCACTTTTTCGTCATAATTCTGACTTTAATCTCATAATTCTGACTTTATTCTTAGAATTCTGACTTTAATCTCAGAATTCTGACTTCTTTTCTCAGAATTCTGACTATTAATCTCAGAATTCTGACTTTTTTTCCCCAGAATTCTGCCTTTAATCTCAGAATTCTGACTTTTTTCTCAGACTTCTGACTTTAAACTCAGAATTCTGACTTTTTGATAAGAATTCCAACTTAAATCTCAGAATTCTGACTTTATTCTTAGAATTCTGACTTTAATCTCAGAATTCTGACTTTTTTTTTCTCAGAATTCTGACTTTTTTTCCTCAGAATTCTGACTTTAATCTTGCAATTCTGCCTTTAATCTCAGAATTCTGACTTTTTTACCTCAGAATTCTGCTTCAATCTTGCAATCCTGACTTTAATCTTGTAATTCTGACTTTTTTTCCCCAGAATTCTGCCTTTAATCTCAGAATTCTGACTTTTTTCTCAGAATTCTAAGTTTAATCTCAGAATTTCTGATTTTAATGTAGATGAGCACCATGAAGTAAGAGCTGTGGGAGCGCTCAGCTTCACTTACAAATATGTGAGTTGTTTGAGAGGGCCAGTGACATTGGTGGAAAATGATGAAATTAGGTGACTTTTTACGTGCCAGAGGGGTCCCTGGTGATGCTATTTCATTAATGGAAGAGGAGAAGGTGATTAAACCAAGAGAGCTAGTTTGCCGTAGTTACTTTCGAGCGTAATGGGCGATCTCGCAATCGCTAGTTTGTTGGCTCTGCGCTGCTGTAGCGCAAAGATGTCTGCCTCCATGGCTGCGAGACCCGCTCCTATGTAATTATAAATAACGAATTCTAAGGCAACGCAAATATTAAGGTTAAGAGGCTGAGCTCATAGATGATGATGATAAATAACATAGTTATGTATAATATATTACTTTTCTGACTGTATATCCCTGTAATTATTACACACTGTAGCTTTAAGTAATATTATTTTTTTTTTTTACTCTGGGTCATACACTACCTATATGATCTTTTTAAGGTATTCTTGTCAACTACAACTGAATTAAAGAAAATGTATTTAACCCAAAAACAAAAATAAGAACTTTTTTTTTTACAGTAATATTGGAACAAATTTCCCATTATAGCTGTAGAGTCATTCCCCACAGCATCTTTTGAAGCATCTAACACTTTTCTGATAAACTGTGACCAGCTTTTAAAAGTATCATGATGCTTCCACCACCACTTATGGAAGGTATGTTGTATTCAGCTTAGTGTCCAGATCCACAATTTTGAACCTCAACCATGTGTTCCTTATGTTTGCTGATGTTTTGTAGGTCTTAAGGTATAAGTTGCGTTTGAAATTTATTTGAACACGGGTTAGTACCAATTAGGGGATTAAACTAATTAAGGGTAGTTTGCCCTTGATTTTATTTTGGGGTATGAAAGCAATGTGGGTTCATACACTGTTATATTTTGTATCTATCAAAAAATGTGAAACTCATGTAGTACTATTTACTGCTCTGCTGTGGTTTTAATAAATGTTTTATGGTAACTGTCACAGAAAGCTGCATGAGTTCAGTAATTGTGTGAAAAGAATCTATTTAATGGAAAATGTTAAACGGGCTATTTTTAGTTGTTCTTATTTTTCACAGCAGCCCTGCATCTGGTCTTCTGCGTGGCTGGTGGAATAACACCAGTAAAAAGCGATAAAGCATGCCACACTATGACTTATTCACGCTAGACTGAGGTGTGTGGGTGCTTGTGGGCTCAAAGGAAGAAGAAGAAGAAGAAATAGGTTTTTAGTGACAAAGGTCAACAATGTTGACACCGGTTTCTATTTTAAGACATGTATTAAAATATATTGCATTTGTTTTTCTTTACTTCCTTTTCCCTGAAGGCCATGAGAAACTGTAGCCAAATGAAGTTTACAGATGTTCATCATCAAGAACTCCACATGTTGACAGATCGCGCAGCTCCAGGCTTAAGTGGAGTTTTTTAAAACCAATTACTTACTAACTTCCTGTCAGTTTAATGCTCCTCTCAGTCATGCATTTCTTTGGTTATTTGACTACTCAATTTAAATTGAATCCCAGCACAGCCCACTTTTTGCTTCCAAAATATTTGCTGGAGCACATCACATTTACTAAATTCAACAGACTGAGAAACAATTAGGAGTGAGCTCCCTGCAGGCAATAAGTGCATGCTCAAATGCTTACTCAGAAAGACTCTCTGGGCTACGTGCTTCCCTACACTTGTGCAGAGCAGTCTGTTCATGGAGAGATAGACTGAGTTGGAAGTTGCTGATCATCGCCCCCACACACCTAGCAGCACTTTGCTGCTTAGCTGCTAAGAGGAATCAGTTGTCATGGTGATGGCCAAACTGTGGCCTTCGTGGGCAAGGAAAAATAAAACCCTCACAACTCATTACATGAAACTCAAAGCATGGTATTTAACAATGGCATTCCGTAGAAGAAAAAAAATGAGAAATCAACGATGATGTATGAACTTAAAGTTACTCCTTTAGGCTTTTTTGCCGGTACGTCATTTGGAAAGTTCCTTCTATGGAAAATATGTAGAAGAGTAATTTTCTTTATTTTCTTCACTTCCTGGAGGGGCATTCAAACAGTAATGGAAACAATATGTTTTTTTTAATGTTTAAAATTTTACACAGAAACTTTCCTTAGAATGAATTGAAATCTAAAAAAATACTTTAGTCAATAAAGTTTGAATGCACAATGACGGTAAATATTTGAATATGTATTTTCGCTGAGCTTTTATATATCCTGTTAAGCTGTAAACCAGTCTGCAAAGTACTGCCCTATTTCTTTCCGATGCCACCATCCCATATTATACATCATAAGTAGACTGACTACCATCTTATTAACCTTCACTTTACGTCTTTTGTCAAAATTGATCTCATCCAGAATTGTGTCCAACCACCTCATCTTTGTTGCACTCTCTATTTGCCTCTTCTCTGCCTTTGAGTCAATGAGCTGGTTTTCCTTAGATAGAAAACTTTGAATTAATTTGATTGTATGATCTATTTGACTTGTCTCTGTAAAGTGCCTTGAGATTACTTGCTGTGAATTGGCGCTATATAAATAAACTGAATTGAATTTAATTGAAAGCCGGTTGCTTTGGATATTTGACTTCAGGTATACAAACTTATCCACCTTTAGTGAATCTTCTCCTTGCAGCTGCCGGATTCCCCGTGTCTTACTTTCTTTAATGTCCAATTCATTTGTCTTGCTTTTATTTTTCTTTCAAGAGCAAATATTATCCTCTCCAGACTCTCTTGCTTATGCTCTGAACTCCCATAGCAAATCACAGTATCATCTGCAAACAACATGATCGTGATGACTCCTGGCCTAAATGTCAGCTGTTACCTTGTGTTTGACAGCTGCAAACAAGAAGGGGTGCATAGTGGATTTCTGTTCATATTTTTGATATACTACATCAGTGATACATTCAGCCTTATTGTGAATAATTTTATCTTTTATAAAACTATGTTATAGTAATGTTATAGTTACTATTTTAAGGGTGTAAAAGATCACAAAAGGTTATCTAAACCTTTGGCATCCTTAATACTGTAGCTTCAAGACAGAGGGTGTTGTAAAATAAGGAGGAAAAAATAAACATTGGCGTTTACTGAAACTGTGTAACTGAGTTAAAGACTTAGCATATGTACAGTATGAGCTACATTATATACAGGTTAGAAAAGTGAGGTTTGTGGTTCAACAGATTTACCAAAAAGTTCAGAGAAGATGAAAGTCTAAGTGCGAAATTCTGAGGTTTTTCCTCAGTCTTTACCACATCTAACATCCTTGCAGATACTAGAGACAGTTCATAACTTGTATTTTGCTGTGGCTGAGAAAAGAAACAAGTAAATATCATATATCTTTTCTGAACAGGAAAAGGATCAAGCAAGGTTTGATTCATTCTCAGATCCAAGTTCTGACTCATTTTCATTCCACTGCATTTCTACTCTCAGAATTTTAAGAACAAGAAACCGTCAAATCAGAGGATCTTTTTGGTTGAACAGTTCATATTTTCATCTTTTGGTGCAGTTGATGAACTTGTATTTATGTACCAGCAAAGGTGCAACTTCCACCAGTGGTACTTGTACCTTAGAACCATGGTTTAAAACAGTGGCATAGTTCTTCTTTTAAGAAATGCTTTTTATTTTAACACACAGGTTTACTTCCTGTTAGCACTTTAAAGCTTTATCGGAATGCAAAAAATAAAGTTAAAAGGAAAGGCTAAGAAAAGAATCCCTTTCTTCAAGCCCATAGTCTAAATTTATGTTTATATTTAACATGTCATTATTTCTCAAAGAGAAATTCATCCTGCACTCAATTACTACAACTTAACATACAGATAACAAAAAAAGACACGTCGAAAATCACAAACTGATGTTAAATCAGTATAAAGATTTCTACTTTGGGCCAGATTTTGACACCTGCATTATTTCTAGTCCTAGATGCTAAAGCAAAAGGCATTTT